GTCTTGTGGATTTGTGGAAGCTTCCAACTTGTTCGATTATCTTAATTCTTACTGTGGTAGTGAGGTATAATCGTTAAATACTAAAATTGTATGATTTGTTTGCTTGGATAAACAATTTATTGCATGTTCCGATCTCTAATATTGGCTTTGAAATGGCCTTTGGTGGAAGCCTGGTCCCTAATTGTGATGTGTTATCATTTTTGTATATGACTTACCTGTGTTATCATTAAATGTTTTTGGTGGAAGCATTAAACCCTAGATCCGGCCTCTGAAACCCTTTGTATGAACAACATGTTAATCTGTTATGCCTGTGAGTCTATGATTCTGATATTTTGAATTTTTGATATAGATGGCCTCTGAATATGTGATGCCTCGATGATGCCTCATGCCCATGTGTTTCTGAGATATTGATATGCATTAGTTTTGAACTATATACGATGCTTGTGAATATGTGATTCACAGTTTAATGAGTTTATGGGTGGAAGCTGCATATTTCTCTCATATGTTCATATTCATGGGTGGAAGCTGCATTAAGTGAGTAGTGATGCCTTTGATTCAGAGATTTTGATTCCTAGTTGCATGTCTATGATATATGAGTAAATTGTAATGTGTACACATCAGAATTATGATGCTTTCATACTTTCATACACATATTTTCTGAATTCTGGTGATTTGTGAATACAATTTGCTGAGCAAACATGATGATTGAAGTTACCTTTTTCTACTCCAACACTCAAACGAGTAGTTAGAGTGAACTGGTATCTTCTAAGTCTGTAGAGAAGTGAATAGGCCTACTGCTTATATCCTTCTGTAGATCAGCTTGCTGATTATTCCAGACTTTATTGTCATTTGTGAATGTATGATGTTGTTCACTGTGTTAATTGCATAGAGTTTTTGAACTATATATTCATATGAGTATATGACTTATCAGAATGGAAGTTGAATGTATGGATGTCATACCTGTCTCTGGCTCTCAACCTCCTCTGACTCCTATTTCCCAAGAACCTGTGGTGGAAGCTCATGATGCTGGGGCTAACACCAGCACACAACAGACAAATGTTCCTGGAAATAAGAGAAAGGAGGTATAGTCAAGAAGTAGAATATGGGATCAGTTTGATAAGATCAAAGATAGTAATGGTGTTGTTATCAAAGGAAAATGCATACATTGTGGTAAAACATATTGTTGTCAGTCTAAGAAGCATGACACTTCCTCTCTTAGAAATCACATACTCAGTTGGGTGTTTGATCAGGGTGCAATTAGGAGAGCACTTGCTGAAATGCTTATCATTGATGAGCTGCCGTTTAGATTTGTGGACAGACAAGGATTTAGGAAGTTTATCTCTGTAGCTTGTCCTAGGTTCCAAATTCCTTCCAGATGGACAATTGCTAGAGACATCTACCAAATATTTTTAGATGAGAAAGTAAGTCTGAAAAAGTTGTTTAGGGAACACACTCAAAGGGTCAGTATAACAACTGACACATGGACCTCTGTACAAAGGATCAATTACATGTGTATAACTGCACATTTCATTGATCATGAGTGGAAGCTGAATAAAAAATAATTTCCTTTGTTCCTGTGACTTCCCATAAAGGAGAGTACTTAGCAAAAGCCCCAGAATCTTGCCTGGTAGATTGGGGATTGAAATCTATCTTCACTGTGACTGTTGATAATGCTAGCAGTAATGACACTGCAATTGGTTTTTTTAAGAAAAAACTTTTATCTTGGGGTGCCTCATCTGTAAAAGTTAAGTACCTTCATATGAGGTGTATTGCTCATATCCTTAATTTGGCTGTCCAAGATGATTTAAAAGAAAGTGATTCTTCTGTTTAAAGAGTAAGGGATGCTGTTAAATATGTTAGAAATTCTCCTGCTAGGCTACAAAAATTCAAGGACATTTCAGACTTGATTGGAATGGAAACTAAAGCTGGATTGCACCTAGATGTCCCAACTAGGTGGAATTCAACCTATTTGATGCTCAAATCTGCAATGTCCAATGAAAAAGTGTTTGAAGCTTATGAGGAGAATGAGAGTTCCTATCTTGTTGATCTGGGGAGTGAGAGTCCTGATGTTGAGGACTGGATTACAATTGAAACTTTGGTGATCATTCTTAAAAATTTCTATGATATGACACTTAGGATTTCAGGCTCTCTTTATGTCACTGCAAATACCTTCTTCTCTGAAATATCTGATCTGTTCCTTGTTCTCAAAGAAATGGTTGCTTCTGAAACTGAATCTGTGTCTAAAATGGGGACTACTATGAAATCTAAACTGGATAAGTACTGGGGTGATCCAGAAAAAATGAACATGCTTATTTTCTTTGCAAATGTGCTTGACCCTACAGACAAATATGAATACATGCCACATCAATTGAATGCTTTGTATGGGGATAAGATAGGTGTGACATTCTTTGCAAGGATAAAGCTGGGTTGGAATGAGTTGTATGGTGATTATGTTACAAACTATGATATTTCAGTCAGTGGAAGCTCTCAATTAACCCCAAATTCTGTTTCTTTACAATCTGAGTCAACTAGAAGTAGGCCTGTCTCTAAATTCAAAGCCCCATTGAAAAAGAAAAAACAAGATAGTGGCCTCTTAGGGTTGAAAAAATGAACTTGAACTGTATTTGAGTGAGAACATTCTTGAGGAGGACAATGAATTTGATATACTAAGATGGTGGAAGCTTAATGGTGAGAGGTTTCCTATCCTATCTAGGATGGCAAGAGACATTCTTGTTGTTCCTATTTCCACAGTAGCTTCTGAGTCTACTTTTAGTACAAGTGGAAGGGTGTTGGATTGTTTTAGGAGTTCATTGAGTGCCAAAATTGTAGAAGCACTCATATGTGTTCAAGACTGGTTGAGGATGTCCAACCAGCCTGTGTCAGTTGAAGAAAATATTGAGGAGGTTGACAAGCTGGAAACAAGTACTTACTTTAACATTTTTTATTCAATATTTATATTTGAAGTTATTGCTAATATTGTTTTCAATGCATAATTGGCTGTAGGAAATGTTGGTGGAGGCCCTTCTCTTGATCAGATAACAGTAAAACTTGTACTTCACTAATAAAATGCTATGATTCTGTCAATGTTATGGCTGTAAATGCATAACCCTACTGCTTTGATGGGAATTGGAAGTGTTGCTGATTCACTGGTAATGTGTGTGTGTGACAACAAGACATGGTAATGTTGTTTCAGTGTATACTATTTGTTCCAGTGTTCCATATTTATGGCAATGATGATAGCTTCCACCATGCAATGAAATTAATTGTAGCTGGTGTTGATTCTATTTCTATATAGTTTCAATGCCCCCATTAATAGTGAAGTGAATGCAAATCTGAGCCAAACTATGTCTCTGCTACTTGCACTTTGCTGGAAATACTTTAATATGACATTGTATCTGTATACTATTTGTTCAAGTGTTCCATATTTATGGCAATGATGATAGCTTCCATCAAGTAATGAAATTAATGGTAGCTGGTGTTGATTCTATTTCTATATAGTTTCAATGCCCCCATTAATAGTGAAATGAATGCAAATCTGAGCCAAACTATGCCCCTGCTACTACCAGTTGATGAAATAAAATGATTCTATTTCCATATTTCTGGAAATGATGATACCTTTCACCAAGTAATGAAATTGATGGTAGCTAAGTAGCTTGTGTTGGTTCTATTTCTATCATTCTATGTACTTTGTTATGCCCCCATTTCTACCAAGTAATGAAATTGATGGTAGATCAATAGTTTAGTTATTTCTGGCAATGATGAAAGCTGCTACTCTGCTACCCTTCTACACTTCTACCAGGTTGCAAAAACAAATGAGTTGGTGTTGATTCTATTTCTATATAGTTTTTAATGCCCACATTTTTTGTGAAGTGAAGGTAAACCTGAGCCAAACCTGATTGCATTTAGTATTCATCATGTCATACATATTTTTTTGAAGTGAATCTAAATCTGAAACCTAAACACTACATTTCTAGTAATTTTTTAACTTGTGATGTACCTCGGAACATATTCAATGAGTATTTTGTTGCTGGTCTGCTACACACATGGAATGATGGAGTAATGGAACTATGGAAGATTGGAAGAAGGAACTATATTCAAGATCTGCCCCCATTAATATTCAATTTTTTGTTGCTACTTACTATTTTGGAACTTTGGATTACTCAAAGTCTATTCTCAAACTGTATTATGTATAAGTATTTACGTAACAACTAACTGTATAACTAATTAACTGTGCTTGGAGTTGTACAAAGTAAATGTACAAACTCTATTATTTTGCTACTTGTTACTTGTTAGTTGTTACTTGTATTGTAATGTAATGCTGCATTGTTTCACAAACTTATAATTTTAATGTGATAGTTGATATTGTATGTTATGTTATTTAATGGTTTTTAATCAACCCAAATGGCCCCGAATATCCGATTCAAGCCGACCGGAATCCAAAATTGGGCAACCCGAACAGCCCTACATTTTTATAGAACAGGGTAGGGTTTTAAATCCCTAACCCGAAAACCGACCGGGTATGCCAAATCTTCACCCGTCCTACCCGAACCCGTCCGACGCTCTCCCCTACCCATGTGACCCATCTTTGTTTTCCTTATCCTTCAAAATTAGGATACGGCCCTTTATTAGGGATGACTGTTTGGGTAAAAGTGCAGAAGTGATTCTTAAAATTGCTTATGTTCCTTCAAAGAGCAGAAGCAGAAGTTGGACTGTTTGGGTAAAAGTGCAGAAGTGATTCTGATGCTCTATTTTACTCCTAGAATCAGTTTTTTTAGAAGCTTGGGATGACGAGCTTATCAAAACTTAGGATGTTTTTACTTGGACTGTAATTTGCTGGTCTGATCTGGTATGATCTGGTCTGGTCTGGTCTGATTTCTTTGTATTTTTATAACTATACAAGTCTAGTCTGATTTGGTCTGGTCTGGTCTGATCTGGTCTGATCTGGTCTGGTCTGGTCTAGGACGAATTAGTAAAAACATCCTAATTCTCATTCTCGTTCTACTTCAAAAACAAAAACAGAACTCCAAACACCCCCTTAATATGCCAGGCCGAAAGGCACCGTGAATCTCTTGACAAAAATGTCTGCTTATTCAATCTCATTCTCCTCTCTCAATGCTCTTCCATGCCATTCCAATAAGCAGCGCTCTAATGCCTTTCCTTGTTACCGGGTTATGGCACCCGCTTTTACACGCCCTCTGATTGTTGAAGCGAAATCCCGAACCAGACAGGACGATCGGATTGCTCGCCATTCTCGTCTGAGGAAGAAGGTAGTTCTGATTACTTCATAGCAGATACGTTTATCGCATTTTGTGTTTCGAGTCCTGCACTTTTTTTTTTTAATTTTGCACAATTTAGTTTAGCTGATTAGCATTTTGAAAGGGAAATAAAAATTTACTTTCGTTTTCAGAAGGGTGGAATGTGAGTGCGGCAGTATATGTTATCATGACCGGTTGTTAGTCTATTAGTTTTTAAATTATCGTAAATGTGTTATTTTGCCAAACAAATGATCAGAATGCCTAAATCTGATTTATTGCTTATGGGGTTATGGCCGTTATGCTAATTGAATTAGCCAAAATTTCGACTGGTTCTCCTTTTCTGGTTATCACTTATGTAAATAATGATGATAGCGGCTGCTTGAGATAGAATCATGTTATGAGCTATGATATGAAGTGCATATGCTATATCTTCCAGTCTTCCACTAAAGCATCCATGGAGTTCTGAGTAATCATTTGATGTCCATAACCCTCAAGGTAACCTAAAGTATTCAATTATTCAGCTCATTGAAGATCATCCACTACTTCATGTGGTCACCAAGGTTCCCTAAGCACACATCCGCAAACTACACATATTCTTACTGTGGTTGGACCTAGCTAGCCATTATTGATATTCATTCACATTATTTCGCCAATACACGTATTGGTTTCATGCTATGAATAAGTAGAATAGCTTTGCTCCCTGAAGTAGGACATTTTGAATCATTTCATCAACTCATTGGAGGAAAGGGAATATCATTTTGTTTGCTCATTGTTGCATTTGCTCAACTGCCCAAATTAAGGTTGGCAAAATATATATGGGATCCTTGGTAAATTTAAGGGAATGGAATTTGTGGATGGGTATGACGACGGTTAAAGGGATTGAGAAAGGCCGTACTCCTACTTTTTTGGGGGGTTTGATTGATTCCCCAAAATGAGGAACCATATCAGTATTCACTTTTTCATTCCTTCCTCTCAAACGTCAGTTTGATTACCACTTCCATTTCTTTCTCTTGAACCCTCCAACACAGCATACCCTTAGCCTTCTTACATCGGGAAGTGACATTTTTTGTGAATTGGAAAGATGAACACCTTAGCAATGATTTTCCTAATGATCAATTTCAAGAGGCATTTTGTGACACGCTTTGAGGTGGTCAACAAATCCTTGGGGTTTAAGATTCAAACAAATGAAATTGTTAGGGTTAGATCTCACACAAGCACGAATCTGAAAGACTAGAAAAAAGAACGAGAAGAACGGCACACGAATATAACGTGGTTCAGTCAGTAAGTGTTACTGACCTAATCCACGGAGGCAACTAGGGTTTTCTTTCTTATTGAGATGATGAATGATACAAGTCATAGTTTACAAGTACAGGAGTCAATATATATAGGCAAACAATTAGGGTAAAACTCTTAATAAGGTTCTGGGCCTGACTGCCACTAAAGAAACAGGCCCAACTAAGGGCTGCCTGCACATTTAACTAGAGCAGGCTCTGCTCTTTGTTTATTTGGCTCCCAGATTTGAATGGGCCGAAGCCTACAGCCCAACAATCTCCCACTTGGAGGCTTCGAAACACGATCAACTGCACTCCACTCCTCTGTACTTCTGTAAACTTCATCTGTGTTTAGCTCCTCCTAGTTGCCACCTGCCTTCTCAACATTATTCTTGAAGGCCAGCTGAAGTTACACAGAACTTCAGCTTGTCCAGCGTCACAGATTTAGTGAACATATCTGCTGGATTCTTTGCACCTGAGATGTTCTTCAAGTTCATCGTTCCTCCACTAATCAACTCTCTGACAAAGTGATATCTCATCCCAATGTGCTTTGTTTTCCCATGATAGACTGGATTCTTGGCAAGTTTCACTGCACTCTCATTATCACAGTGTAACGAGTATTCTGCTTGCTTTTTGTCTAACTCGTCAAGGAAGTTCCTCAACCAAATCAGCTCTTTACTGGCTTCAACAACTGCCATGTACTCTGCTTCGGTTGTTGAAAGAGCTACACTTTTCTGAAGTTTGGACATCCAACTAACTGCAGTTCCTCCCACTGTGAAAATGTACCCCGTTGTGCTTTTAAATGTCTCTTTGCATCCACCCAAATCAGCATCAGAATACCCTCTCAAAATCACATCTTTTCCTCTGAAACATAACCCCATCTTTGTAGTACCCTTCAAATACCTAAGTATCCATTTAACTGCTTCCCAATGTTCCCTCCCCGGGTTTGACATGAAGCGACTAACAACCCCGACTGCATGAGCAATATCTGGTCTCGTGCACACCATAGCATACATGAGGCTACCAACTGCAGATGCAAAAGGAACTTTAGCCATTTCTGCTTTATCTTCGTCTGTTCTCGGAGACTGGTCTTTGGTAAGCTTGAAGTGACTTCCCAAAGGCGTGTTTCTTGGTTTAGTCTTCTCACCATTCATTTTGAATTTCTCCAACACTTTCCCAATGTACTTTTCCTGGGATAGTGTTAAAGAACCACTCTCCTTGTTTCTGACTATGCTCATCCCTAGAATCTGTTTGGCTGGACCCAAATCTTTCATTTCAAATTCTTGAGACATTTGTTTCTTTAACGTGCTGATCTCTTTCATATCTGCACCAGCTATCAACATATCATCTACATAGAGAAGTAGAATGATATATGAACTCTTGAACCTCTTCACGTAACAGCAATGGTCCATCTCACATCTTCTGTAACCTGTCCTTATCATGAAGTTATCAAACTTCAGATACCACTGCCTCGGTGCTTGTTTTAGACCATATAAGCTCCGTTTTAGTTTGCAGACCAGATTTTCTTTTCCAACAACCTGATATCCTTCAGGCTGTGCCATGTATATATTCTTATCAATATCGCCATGTAGAAATGCTGTTTTAACATCTAGCTGCTCTAGATGTAAGCCCTCTGCAGCTACAATACTTAGAACCAATCTGATGGTGGTCATTCTAACCACCGGAGAAAAAATCTCATTATAATCCACTCCCTTTTTCTGCTGAAAACCTTTGACCACTAAACGGGCTTTGTACCGTTTTGACCCATCAGGTTCATCCTTGATTCTGAATACCCATTTATTTTGAAGTGCCTTCTTACCTGGCGGAAGCTTAGTAAGAACCCATGTCTTATTCTTGTGTAAGGCATCCATTTCTTCTTTCATAGCCTGCTCCCACTGAAACGAATCATGCTGCTTTATTGCTTCGAAGTAACTTTCTGGTTCTCCATTTTCAGTCAAAAGGAGATAATTGACTGAAGGACTGAATCTTTCTGGAGGTTTAGTGACTCTAGTGGATCTTCTGACCCACTGTGTTTCAACTGGCTGCGGCTGCACAGGTGAAGGTGCTCCTTCATCCTCTGAATTTTCACTATCAACAGAGTTTTCGTGATCATCCTCAGACTCGTTAGTACTGGAATCATTCTCCAAGCTCCCACTGTCTTGAGTATCTTCAGATTCTCTGTTTCCGATGACATCAGTTTCAAACTCAACCTGCTCTTTCTGAATCTTTGAGTTTTCTGTGCTTCTGTCTTTATAAAGTTCAGCCTCGTTGAATGTAGCATGTTTACTTCTGACTACCTTTCTACTTTCAATGTCCCAAAGTCGATAACCCATGCTGTCTCCCCCGTATCCTATGAAAGTGTATTTCTTGGCTTTAGCATCTAACTTGTCACCATCTTTGATAAGATCATAAGCGCTGCATCCAAATACCTTTAAATGCCCATACTTTACTGCTTCTCCTTTCCACTCTTCCTCTGGTATCTTGAAACCCAATGGTACGGATGGCCCCCGGTTGATAAGATAAGCGGCAGTGTTCACTGCATCAGCCCAGAACGTCTTTGGAAGCTCAGCATTAAGTCTCATACTTCTGGCCCTTTCATTCAATGTTCTGTTCATCCTTTCTGCCACTCCGTTCTGTTGAGGAGTGCCTGGAACCGTCTTTATCATCCGAATGCCATGTTCAGCACAATAATCAATAAACTCTGTGCTAATGTATTCACCACCATTGTCCGATTTCAAGCACTTTACCTTCAGATTAGTTTCCAATTCAACAGCAGTTTTCCACTTCTTAAAAATATTGAAAACTTCAAACTTATTTTTAAGAAAGTAGACCCATACCTTGCGTGTTGAGTCATCAATGAAGGCCACATAGTAGCTTGATCCTCCCAGGGAAGAGACTGGTGTTGGCCCAAACACATCCGTGTGAACTAGCTCCAGCTTATGAGTTTTCGGTGTCTGACCTGTCTTCACAAAAGAAACCTTCTTTTTCTTGCCAAGTACACAAGGCTCACAGAACTCAGAATCCACCTTTTTCAAATCTGGAAGTTTCCCCCTTGCAACGAGCATCTTCATTCCCTTTTCACTCATGTGGCCTAGCCGTTGATGCCACAAACTGGATGCATTCACCCCGCAGGTCACTGCATTCATCTCATCATTAGGAGCTTCAACCATATATAAAGTGCCCCTCTTTTTGCCTCTGGCGATTACAAGATTCCCCTTGACAACTTTCCATTGTCCTTCACCAAAAGTAACATCAAATCCCTGATCATCCAACTGCCCAATAGAAATCAGCATCTTCTTAAGGCTTGGAATGACCCGAACGTCTTTCAATGTCCAAGTGGTGCCCAATGAAGTCTTTAAGCCTATGTCACCCATCCCTGTGATGTCAAGAGAGTTGTTATTAGCCAAGCGAACTTTACCAAAATTACCTGTCCGTAGATTCTTCATCGCCTTCGTGCTGAAAGTAGCATGAAATGATGCACCAGAATCCATAATCCACGTTTCTGTTGAGTTTTCAACACAACAAATAAGGGCATCATCTGAATCGTCAGTGGCTGCATTTACTTCCTTCCTTTCTGAAGATTTAGGGCATTGATTTCTGAAATGCCCAGTTTCTTTGCAGTTCCAGCATTGAATATCTTTTCTCGGTTTTGACTGGCTCCTCTTTCTAGACTTTGATCTGCCTCTGCCATTTCCCTTCTCTTTCTTTCTACCTCTCCCTTCAGTACTTAACAAAGCACTAGAAGATTCTCCAGAACTCCTCCTTCTTATATCCTCTCCTAGGATAATGTCACGAATGCCCTCAAATGTGAGTTTAGAGGTTCCAGTTGAACCACTAATCGCAGTGACTGTTCCTGACCAACTTTCTGGTAACGAGGATAACAAGAATAAAGCTTGGACTTCATCTTCAAACTTAATATCAACAGATAGTAAACGGGATATGATAGTATTAAACTCATTAACGTGTGAGGTAACGGATGCACCTTCTTTCATTCTGGTGTTTACTAGCTGTCTTATCAGAAATACCTTGTTTGATGCCGATGGTTTCTCATACATGTTTGACAAAGCCTTCATCAAACCACATGCAATAGTCTCCTTCAAGATGTTAAACGCCACACTCTTGGCTAGGGTAAATCTGATAACAGCCAAAGCTTTCCTGTCTAGAGCAGCCCATTCATCATCACTCATCTTTTCTGGTCTTTTCCCTGTCAAGGCTTGATCCAAGTCCTTCTGACACAGCAAATCCTCAATTTGCATCTTCCACCATCCAAAATCTTGTCCATCAAACTTCTCGACTTTGGTTTTTCCGTCATCTGCCATTGTCCCAGTCCTTCACAATCTGCCGGCTATATTCTTCTGCGGCAGCGTACTGTTGGCGGCACAAGGAGGCTGAAGACGCAAGGTGGCAGCAGTGGTGGTGGTCGAATATGTGTGGTGGCTAACCTATCTCTGATACCAGTTGTTAGGGTTAGATCTCACACAAGCACGAATCTGAAAGACTAGAAAAAAGAACGAGAAGAACGGCACACGAATATAACGTGGTTCAGCCAGTAAGTGTTACTGACCTAATCCACGGAGGCAACTAGGGTTTTCTTTCTTATTGAGATGATGAATGATACAAGTCATAGTTTACAAGTACAGGAGTCAATATATATAGGCAAACAATTAGGGTAAAACTCTTAATAAGGTTCTGGGCCTGACTGCCACTAAAGAAACAGGCCCAACTAAGGGCTGCCTGCACATTTAACTAGAGCAGGCTCTGCTCTTTGTTTATTTGGCTCCCAGATTTGAATGGGCCGAAGCCTACAGCCCAACAGAAATGACTAAATGAGGCATAAGCCTCATATGCTAGAGACATTTTGTGATTCTTGAACCTCAAGGTATTTTGTGATGTCTCCTTGTTTTACATTTTTATTGGCTTAATATTACTAAACAAAAGTCAAGGATTAGCCACTAAGCCCATTGAAAACACTAAAATCTACTAGGCAAAGTATCCTTCTCTTTCTTCTTTCCAGCAAGATTCAAATAACCCAAACCACCCCAGATTATTTTTTTTATTTTTATTTGAACAATAACAGCAGAACTGCAGAAGTAACAAAACTTCTTAAACCTTTTCGTTTTATTCAAATTTCTCCAGAATATCAAAATCTCCGGGCTCCAGTCTTTTCTTCTCCTTTTTCTCATTTTAACAACTTTTTTTATTTTTTTAAGAAAACAAACCTTTAAAATTTTTCTTTGAAGAGTTAAACTTATGATAGTGGTCTATGGTGCTTACTTATGAACACTTGTTATATGATAGCCTGATAGGTGATATGTTTTAGATTCTTAGTAAATTTGAATTTTAGAGGAAGATAGGTATTAAGTTTGAGGCTTACACCCCGCCTCACACTTACGACTTAAAAGCACCTTTTTAAGCATGTAGCAGTAATGTTCATGTCTTAAGACTATGGGATTGGGAACAAAAGGTTATATGGAGTATTTGTTTTCATTAACCCCACTCAATTATTAGGAATATTCTTGTGTAATATAAGGCTCTCATTTTTGTATTATTATCGAAATAATAAAGTGGAATTTGTTATCATCATCACCCTAGTGCTGCAAAGGCTCCCACCTTCAGTGGAATTTGTTATACTTCCATTAAATTGTAATGCTAATTAGGTTTCTTTTTTTCCTTGAAACTTTTCATTGCTTATTTAAAAACTTATGGTTTTGCGGAAATCATGATTTTCTTCTCATTTGGTGAAAAGACACAAGTTGGCATGGGAGTCAGCTCCTCGGGAAAATGCCCAACTGTAGCAGTATATGGAACTAAGTAAATTATTTATTATATAAGAGAAACTTTTTATTTGCAATTGGGGCTCATAGCAATAATAAAACATTAAAACAGTAACTAGATGGAAGAGGATACAATAGGGATAGTGTATTATCATATAAGAGAATGATTCTCTCCTTTTTCTGTATCAAAATGAAGTAATGTAGCTTAGGTATTTAAAGGGCTATTCTTTATTGTTTCTGCTTTACATCAGCAGTTGTCTCTCCTCTCCAGCCTTTCCAAAATCCACAATCCATATTCATATTAATAAGGGAGAAAACGAGAAGTATGACTTTATGTAATCCGCTGTTCCTTAGGGGCTGAGGGCACTAGATACCCATCAGATGCTTGAGTGGCACTTAGTCCACCTAGAAGAGACTGATCTAGGGGCTCCTACTCTGCCGCCTAGGATTTCTGTATTTCATAAAGAATGTGTATATCGGCTGAGTTTCCGTCTGAACATTAAAATTGAAGTATTTCAGATGGAAATTTTCATGAATTCTTGCTCATCACTTTCCCTGTTTTTTGCCATGTATCTTCCTTTTCATCAATGAGAGTTATATTAGGATTGACTACCTCCGTCCCGTTGGAAGGTTCCCGTAGCAAAACGTCATGGTTATTTAGTCAATAATTAAATAAAGTACTTTGAGTATATTTTAAGAAATAATTTTAATAGGTATATATTATAATGTAGTTAGTATTGATAATTGTGATGTCATAAATGTATTATTTTTAATATTTAATGATTAATTTGTCACTTAAGATTGTTAATTGTTTCCTAAAATAGAAATGGGAACCTTTATATGGGACGTCTACAAAAGGAAAGTGAGAACCTTCTAATGGGACGGAGGGAGTATTTATTTAGTTAATATCGTGTATACAGCTTGAATTTAACATGAATAGTACTCCATAAATTGATTTAGTAGTAAGTTGGTCAAATCATTCTTTCTTCATCTTGATTTACTCCAAATGTTCAATAGCACTATAGGTGCAATAAATTCATTGTTTGTCAGGTTGAAGGTACTCCAGAAAGACCGAGGATGGCTGTGTTCCGTTCCAACAAGCATATTTTTGTTCAAGTCATTGATGACACACAAATGCATACTCTGGCTGCAGTTTCAACAATGCAAAAAGCAATCTCAGCAGAAGTCAACTACAGTTCTGGTCCTACCATTGTAAGTTTACTGATGTTGAAAAGGATCATAAATCTTTTAATGGAAAGCTACACTGCGTTATCTCCTATATTGGGGGGGGGGGGGGGGGGGGGGGAGTTACCAACAGGCTATATGCCTCTATAATTTGAGTATTTGACTAACTGCACCTCAATTTATACTATTCAAAGATTTCAAGCACAGTGACAAAAAATATATATACTGTAATACTGCTAAGCAATGCATGAAATATTCATAAATATTGAGATATATGTGCTGATATTTTCAAAATTTACAGAAGAGACATACAGAGGGAGCTCACCATATTTCTTTACAAAAATACTATGGTTTACAATATTTCATTACAACAATATTACTCCATAATAAATGTGTATTGCTTTTCCATCATTTGCAATGGAGCCAAAGACTCACTATTTTTTGGCTTGGGAATATGATGAAATAAAAAAAAATGGTTTAGTAAATTGTTTGCGCTTCTTTGTTACTCCCTCTGTCCCGGTTATTTCTTCCAACTTTCCTTTTTGGACCGTCCCAATTAATTCTTCCAACTTCCACTTTTGGAAAAAATTTGTGGTTCACATTCATTCACCTTTTTCTTACACAACTATAACCATACATTTCCATTTTATTCCCACTATCTAAATTTGCGAGCCAAGTCAAAACTGGAAGAAATGACCGGGACGGAGGGAGTATAAAGCAGCAATAAGTGCATGCATTTTTTGACTCGATTTTCACTATGGATATCCGGAAACAGTCTCTAGGTGCTTTAGTGCAGGGGTAAGACCGCTTACATCCGACCCCCCTTACCCCCACCATAGGTGGGAGGCTTTGCAACACTAAAGATGATGATGAATAAATGTGTATTGATGTATTTGTGGCTTGACAAACAAAATATCTATACATATGGGTATTTCTGAAAATTTCCATATCATTTCCATAAACACATCCTAGAAATATCCATTCATGCAAAATTCTTTATTAGTCTTAGAAGTTAGAACATATAATACTGTGTAGTGAATGTAGTTACAATTGATAAGATGCACCATGATAGGAAGTAGCACGGAAAGTGGGGGAAGCTATAGCAAAGTCATGTCTGGAGAAAGGGATCACCAAGGTTGCCTTTGATCGAGGTGGTTACCCTTATCATGGACGGATTCAAGCTATTGCAGAAGCTGCAAGGGAAAAGGGGCTTCAATTTTAGAAGTTCGGGGTTTTAGTTATTTGCCATTAGTCACGTTCCTTCCATTCCTATTGCCCTGTTCATTGTGATAATGTAAAGAAGCCTTAAAATATACAGTAAATCTGGGCTGTAGTTGATTTGGTTTCAATGCGGTAATTGAAAATTGTAGATGTACGTCGAGAATGAGTTGGGGAAATGACATAATTGGACCAAAAGGCCTTTATGATGTGGTTGAGTTGTTAATCATCCTTTCGAAATGCATTTACTCTTTAAAAAGTTTGGGAAAAATCGAAATAGACTCTTTGTATTGTTTACTATTTCAAGTTCATAAACCTCTATACAACCTCTGTCTCGATATTTCCTGTTAAAAAAGGACACATTTTTAGACAATAATTAAATAGGTAAATTATCATTGATCCCCCTTGAGATTTGATATAGTATCACTCACACCTAGGGATGGACTGGTTCCGGGCTGGGTATCGGGTCGGGCCTGACCGGGCTTTTTTTGGGGGAAGTGAGGCCCGGAACCGGCCCGGGTAGCCAGCGGTTCCGGTCCAGTCTGATTCATTTTTTTTTGCTTTTCAAATTAACCCCTGACCCCCCCCACCCCACCCCCAAACCCACCCAAAACACCCAGCCCTACTCGGGAAAAACAAAAAAAAATTGAAAAAACAAAAAAAAGGCCTGGCCCGACTAGGGATGGATTCGGTTCGGGTCAGCCGGCCCGAGACCCGGCCCGGCCCGGTACTGTGCGGGCCTGGGACCGGCCCGGTCGGGCGGTTCGGGATCGGGTAAGGGCCCGGACCGGTGGGAAGGGGCGGGGTGGGCTCGGTTCTGCATTATTGTGACCCGGCCTGGCCGGGTCGGGCCCGGGTCCGGTTCTATTTTTAATTTTTTTTTTTTGGTTTGGGCTCCTACTAGCCGTTGGGGGTGGGGTTGGGGACAACCCAAACGGCTATATAGCCGTTGGGTGGGGTAAAGGGGGGGTCCGGGGGGGTCCGGGGGGGTTGGCTGGTAGGGGGGGGGTGGGGGGTAAAAAACTTATAAATACTCCTAATCTTAAACATTTTTTCATATCTCTTCTCCAATTCTTCCTAAATCCTATTCTTAACTCTCTACTCTCTAATTCTCTTATTCTCTAATATATTATATATCTACTCTCTAATTCTCTTCTCCAAGAAGTTAAGATGGAAAATCAAAATGCCATTATACGGTATAATTTTGATAAGCAGAAGGACCCGAAGACCGGGATGTGGTACGTAATTTGCAAATGGTGCGGAAAAAAAAGTATCATGGAGGCTTCAGACGGATTCGGGATGACAATCAAGCATATGAAGTCATGTGACAAAGCCAAAGGACCGGGAGGTGCGGGAAGTTCCGATTGATTACAATTTTCAAAATGTTTATGAGTTTATCTCTTAAAGTTTGTTTTAATTTTCAAATGTAGTTCCTATTTCATTTCAAATAAATGCAATTGAAGTTTGTTTTTAATACTCGTATAAAACTATAAACTATAAAATATAAATTATAAAATAAAAAAATTAACCGGCCCGGCCCGAACCGGACCCGACCCGTGACCCGGGCGGGTGGCCCGGCCCGAACCGGACCCGTCCAACCCTCGGGCCGATCCCGGGCCCACTTTTCTTGAACCGGCGGCCCGGCCCGAATCCATCCCTAGGCCCGACCTAATCCCCAAACCGGGCCTAGGCCCGGAACCGGTTACCCAAGAAGTGTATAAATCATTGGTGGACCTTCCCTTATTCCTATAAGTAAAATACAACTACTCCCTCCGTTCCTATTTTATCTTCCAAATAGATTTGACACACAATTTAAGATAGTGGATATTGTGTGGTGGAGAGTTGTGCAGAGGAGAGAGAAATGTGTAAGAAATGTTATGAACCACATATTTTTTACTAAAAAGGGAAAGTAGAAGTTTTAATTGGAACGGACGAAAAAGGAAAGTTGGAAGTTTTAATAGGAACGGAGGGAGTATAAAATATAGTTAATATTCTTAGTACCTTGTTAGTCATACAATTATAAAGTTCCAATTAGGCAGTTTCAACTTTGAGACTCTTGAAACCTAGTTGTAAGCACAAATGTAGATTAGTTTTAAGGACTGAGATATTTGCATGAAGATGATAGAATATGGAATGTGGAAGAGAAGGGCTGCCACTAATCTTCTGTGGTAATCCCTTACAATTTCCCCTCCGGCCAGTAAATTTACTAGAGGATATGGTAGCATCAGTATCGAACTTTAGGAATGGATATGAAGGTTTATTCTAGCAAATTTGAATACAATTCTTTTAATCAAGTTTGTAATCCTTGGGAATCAAACCAACCCTCTTAAGCAGCCATGGTCAGAAGCAAACTTTGGCATCATATATCTTAAGCACCATATTAACATAAACTGTTGGATTTGGGAAATGACCATTTGAGCTGGAGTATGTGGAGTCTCATCTTTCCAAATAAACAGGCTGATGGATAGTCTACCCGGGGGTATATATCCGAAGGGTTATTGCGGGAAGTAATCTAGAGAGAAGTCAGAGCAAGTAAATGAAAGTAGAGAGAGAGAATGTATTATAAATGCGGAGTGTTTTCAGCGTGTTCTGTCTTGGTTACAAATGGGGAAAAGGGGTGCTATTTATAGTAGCAATAAATGCCGGGCAGGGACACGTGTCAAGCGCTCATTGGCCGAGGGGTCACCTCAACTGGTTGGCGCTGGCAGCCGCATGTGGCCGCATTTAATGCGGCTGTTGGATGGGACGTCTGTGCGGGGTATGGTGATCTGTACGCATGTGAGGCGGATATCTTGTCGAGTGAGATGCCTTCGGCTATAGAGCAGTAGCCGAGGGCTCTTCCACCCGATGGCACCCTGGTGCCGAGGGCTCACAGTGCCGAGGGCTACTGTTTTCGCCGTTTTCTCCCAGTTTCTTAGTTTGCTTGAGAAACCCGCTCTGTGAGAATTTAGAGCCTTCGGCCAGGGGGCCGAAGGCACCCCTGGCGCGTAGTGCGGGCTGCTTGGTACTCTGGGCGCTGTGATTTGGGCCTGTTGGGCCTGCTGGGCCTTCGCTAGAGTAGTAGGAGTCTGTGGGCCGGGGGTTCCCGGGCCATATACTCCATCAGGAGTCCCTCACTCCTTTTGCCGAAAGGTACTTGAGGGAAAAGGAGTAACTTGTGCTTGCCCTTTGATGTTGTCCCATCGTGATTCCTGAAGTTGGTGAGGAGTTGTTGCTTTTATGTCCCTGCCGAAGGTAGTCCCTCAGTTACCCACATGTCGGGACTTGAGGGCTTGCTTTGTTGTTTGTTGGAATTTCACAGATTTTGTAATTTAATGATTTTCCCGAAGGGGTCCTCCAGTCCCCCACTCCTTGAGGCACTTGTAAAGTGGTGAAAAGGAGTAAAGTAGTTACGTTGCTGTTGTGGACCGAAGGCTGACGCTTTTCGTTTCATTTTGGGGGGATGCCTCGTTAAAAACCTCATTAGGAAAAACCCTTTGGGAAAAAATCCTAATGAGGGAAAAAGAGTGCACCGAATTCCCCCAATGATGAATCGAAAATGTCAAACCTTGGTACAAAGTGGAGAATGACGGGAATGCCGAAGGCTCTCTCCTCTGAGGGCTCCTGTGTTGATTAGCCGGAGGCTTGCTGTTGATGTCCTGGTGGCGCCGAAGGGGAGCCCCTCAATCCAGGGATCGAGGGCCTGCCAGATGAGGGCAGCAGTGAAGCTGTTACCGGAGGGTCCACTGTTTGTTGATGAGTTGGTGATGAAGATACCCGAGGGCCATGGGCCATCCGTCAATGAGGCACTCCCCCGGGGGCTACCCGGTTTTGCAGTGCTGAGGGGGAAACCCCGAGGGGTGCCCTGATATGCAGCCCTAGGGATCTGAAGGAGTGATCCCGAAGGCGTGTGTAATGTGCTGTGTGGGGCACAACCCGGGGGTACTTCTGGGTGAGTGCACCCGGAGGCTATCCTTGATGAAGTGGAGTGAAGTAGAAAACCCGGGGGCTTCCAAAATATAGCCGTTGGAAATATAGCCGTTGGAATATGTAACGACGGGATATAGCCATTGGGGGGGCACACCTGGCGTGTGATGGCTGGCTGTCCGTGGGCGGCGTCACCGGTTGGGCGAAGACGCGGTGAGTAATGATGGCGTCCATCCGGAGGCCCGGAACCCAGGCCCAAGCCCGGATTCCAGCGCCTATAAATACCCCAAGGCCAGAGCCATTCCCGCTGTGCGAACTCAGTTGTTTTAGCGAAGCTCTGCCAAAACATCTAGTGAGAGAAACTCCAGCCTTCGGTCCTAACTCAGCTTTCGAGGTCAGTGCTCCCTGCCTTTCTCCTTCTAGCATAGCTGTACTGTGCCCTTAGGTTAGGAGATAGAAAAGTTAGGAAACACTTACCGTCTACGAGCCCTCGAACTAGAGCGCGAATGTCGTCCCAGAGTGATTCTCAAGATATCTCGAGGACGCCCTCGATGGAGGACGAAGGCATCTCCGACGTGGAGTCAAGCAGTGGTCAACCCTCGGATGGTGGTGATGCAGCCCTGGCCCGGGAGGTCCAGAAGGAACTCACTGCGGAGGTTGAAGCCGAGGGCTTCGAGCAGGAGTGTGATGATGAAGACTTAGCCCTCGCCTGGCAGACAGCGGAGGATGAGGCACAGAATGAGAGCTCGAAGGTTACGATTGCTGTTCTCCCCCCTCGGGGTTCCGAGGAGGCCAGTAGCTCGAGGCCGTTGGATCCGATACCTCTGAGGGCGGTTTCCGGTTTGAAGAAGAAGAAGGCCGCTACCAAGAAGAAGGAGAGGGCCGTCGATCAAGGAAAGCCCGTGGACATGCCCGAGGGGTACAGTTGGCTGAACACTGAGGCCCTTGAGATCAGGTCGAAGGCTGACAGGGCAGATCTGTACGTGACTCAGCTGCACGTGGGGCCCTCGGCCGAAGTGGTGGAGCTAGGTCCCGACGACGTGTTGTCCAGGGCGCCCGAGGGGTGTATCGCTATTCACGTCCTTTCGGTTTCCATGGGACTTAGGTTCCCTCTGCATCCATTCCTCCGGGAATATTTGCGGTTTGTTGGCTTGGTCCCCTGCCAACTCACGCCCAACAGCCACTCCTACATTGCGGGGTTCCTCCAGCTCTGCAAGTCCCGAGGGGTGAAGCCCAGCTTGGATCTATTCTTCCAGAGCTTTAATTTGTGCCGGGGGGGGGGGGGGGGGGGGCACGAAAACGGCGAGGGGTACGCCAACCTGCAGCAGATTGCCCGCTTCAAACTATTCTCCGATGCTCCTTCTTCCAACAAAGGATGGAGGGAACGTTGGTGCTATGTAAAGTTGGATGAGAGCCCATTCCCGAGGGAGCTGCGTGATCGATTCCGAAGGCACGAAAAGATCAGGAGTGCCGCTCTCGAGAAAGACGGCCTAAAGCTGGCCAAGTTCCCGGAGGGGAAAAACAAGAACGTGGCGATCAAAGACTGCACCCTCGAGGAGGATTTATACACCCTCGGGTTCCGGAGGTACCGCTTCATAGGGGAGACCGATGAAAAGTATCCTCCCTTCAACAAGGCCTTCGGAGGGGCCGGAGGTAGGAGCCGAGGGCTTTAGAATTTTGTACTTAGTTTTTTTTTTGCTTGGATGTTATCGTCCCTTCGCTTAGACCCGTCGGACTAACCCTTTGTCTCCTTTGTGCAGGTATCCCCGTCTCTATGGTGAATGTAAAGGGCCTTGCTCGTTTGAAGAAACAGGACCCGAAGGGGTCGGGACAGGGCATCCAGAAGCCCGCCACTGCCCTCTTTAAGAAAGCCGAGGGCGATGCCGCTGCCGGCAAGAGGAAGGCAGTGACCAAGGGGTCCCCCCCGGCTACCAAAAAGCCGAAGAAGGGGGATGTCGCCGAGAAGGAGCCCCCGGTCATTATCGCTGATGAGCACCCCGCCTCCGGGGTGCAGGTGGAGAAGCTGCCGGGTGGAACTGTCGACCCGGGGGCCATCCTGAGGGGTATGACCCCTGAGACGGATAGGGCTGCCCTCGGGGCCTATAATGATGCGGCCCTCGAGGACCACATTCTCCGCTCCTCCCTCTCTGTAAGTGTTTACCTGGCTTTCTCCATCTTCTCCTTTGATTATTTTGTGTGATTGCCTTTAACCGTTTTTGTTGTTGTTCTGCAGGCTTGCTTAGCCCTCGGCGAACAGGCTCGGAGGCTTCAAGAATGGCGCCTCCACAAAGCGGAGCAAGACGCCAGAATGAGGGAGTGCCTCCTCAAGAACCAAGAGGCGGTGAAGCTGGGGGCCCAGCTAGAAGAGGAGCTCCGGCAGATGAGCTTGAAATTGGAGGCTGCAGAGAAAGGCAAGGCTGATGCTGAGGCCGCTGCTAAAGAGGCCGAGGACTCCAAAGCGCTAGCCGTCGCCAAGGCTCAGGAGGAGGCCGTTGAGGCCTTTGTCGCCGAGGGTTGGAGAGCCGAGGGGCGCAAGATGTGGGTGTCCTCGGTCGTGGAGGCATGCGTTGAAGAATGGGCCGAGGGCCCTGGGTGGGAATGGATGGCCCGGAAGGACAGAGAGTACTATGAACCCGGCGAATTCTTCACCCAGGCCCTCATCTACCGGAGGATGGCCCGGCATTTGGGCATTGAGCAAAAGGACTTCTCCCCCTCGGCGTATGGCCTTCCTCCCCTGCAGCCTGATGTCCGTGAGTCGCTCCCGGAAGGTGTTCAGAGGCCCGACCTTGAGGACACGGAGTTGAAGAATGAGGCCGAGGACGACGCTGTCGAGACCGGAGCGGAGGCATCATCGAGGCCGGCTGCAGAGGGCGCCCCAGTGAATGATGCTGTTGTAGTCGTAGAATGACTTTGTACTTAGAAATCTTTGAACATGTTTTGTAATGAATAACATTGATCCTTCGGCTTCGGCCCGTTTGTAAATTTCACACTTACTTTGTTTTTGATGAATGCATGATTGCCCTCGGGCTGTGTTTATATGATTTGTTTTCTCCAATTCCTTTCTTCTCGAATGCGTGCCTTCGTTTTTGTTTTGAACGTATGTCTTTGTTCCTTTGAATGTATGTCTTAGGACTTAGAATACCATCTGATTGCAGCTAGCCCTTGGGAGCCTTCGGTAGTTGGGCACCCTCTGCTGGATATGCAACCGAGGGTTCAACAGCAATTAGGACTTAGAAAATTTTTCTAAGTGTAGCACACCATAGGGCCTTCGGGTGATTGCAGTAACCCAAATCCTAGGACTTAGAAAAAATTTCTAAGTGTAGATTTCCCCTTGAGAGCCTTCGGGATATGGCCTCCCTTCCTGATGTGTGAATGTTGGACCGAGGGCCCAATGCACAGGATTTAGAGATTTTTGCAAGTGTAGTATGTCATGTAGCCTTCGGCTACTGTGGAGCCCCACCTGTAATATTGAATAGGCCGGGGGCTAATTCTTTAGGACTTAGAAGATTTTCTTGAGTGTTGATTCCTTGTGAACCACAGCCCTCGATTGATAGGTAGCCTTCGGCAATTAGGTCCCTCGAGATGAGGGCGAAATATGTAGGACTTAGAAAATCTTCTAAGTGTAGAGTTTCCCTTGGGAGCCTTCGGGAGATGGCATCCCTTCATGATGTATGAGCAGTTGACCGGGGGGGGGGGGGGGGGGGAAATATGCAGGACTTAGAAAATCTTCTAAGTGCAAAATCTCCTTTGGGAGCCTTCGGGAGATGGCATCCCTCCTTGATGTATAAGTAGTTGACCGGGGAAAAGCATGTAGTACTTAGAAAATCTTCTAAGTGTAGAGTTTCCCTTGGGAGCCTTCGGGAGATGGCATCCCCTCATGATGTATGGCCTTCGACTGTCATATTCCTGTGGTTGCAATACTGACTGAGCCGGGGGCCCATCTTTAGGAGATGGAAATTTTCTTTGTTTGCAAGTGTTGTTGTATCGCATAGCCTTCGGCTATTGTATTCCCCTGGCTGTAATGTTGATTGAGCCGGGGGCCCAACTTCAGGACTTGGAATTTTTTCAAGTGTTGTTTCTTTGTGTAGCCTTCGGGTGATAGATGCCATCTGACTCTGCATCACTTTGCGAGATGCCCGGGGGCTGTTCCTTCAGGAATTAGAATTCTTTTCTACGCATAAATTGATGTTGAATCCTGTTGTTGTGAAGAAAGCCAATGAGGAGTGTGTGCCCTCGGCATACACTTTAAAAGTTGCAGAATTGGACCCTTGTCATGGGGAAAGGGCCCTCGGTATTTGTGCATAACAGATGCCTTCGGCGTTTGTTTGAAGTACCGTTTAGTGGACCTTGGATAGTCCAGTCCCTTTGTATTGTTGAAGCCTTCGGTGTTTTTATGACCGGAGGTGACCAGGTAGTGGACTTAGCCGTTTCCTGATGATATTTCTTTGAGTAGTATCCTTCGGGAAATAGGAGTCTTCAATTACCGGAGGTGTTCCCGTGGTGAGCCCTCGGCATGTTGTGATATTGTTGGAGTGTACTCTTTGATTTCTCGCTGAGTCTACTCCCCTTCACCCCCTCTTTTTTTTTTTTTTTTGGTGGTGAAGGGAAGGCATCAAGAAACTTGGTTTCTTGGTAAGGCTGGGCCTATTAGGAGACCATCAGAATACACCAATGGCTCTCCTCCCTCGGGTTAACCTTCCGAGTTCCGAGGGGATCGAGGGACGTTTCCTGGGCACAAGATATGGTGGTCCGTAACCTGCCTCCCCTTGGGGGATGGCGCGGAAAGCGCCTCATTTTCGAAAGTCGTCCCCTCGGCGCTAGACATAGTCTGTGGCCTGCCACACCCTTGGGGTGGTGGCGCGGGGAGCGTTTCGGTTTGGAAGTCGAATCCTGGGCATTTCTCATGCCTGTCATACCCTGGGGGTAATGACGCGGATAGCGTTCCGTTTTTGAAAGTCGAATCCTGGGCATTTCTCATGCCTGTCATACCCTGGGGGTAGTGACGCAGAAAGCGTTTCAAGGAAGGGTTTTCATTTGCACACTAGTTGCAAATGGCCGGGGGCACTACGTGCCGCCGGCACCGATGGTGGCGCCTTCGGTATATGCGTCCTCGTGGGGTACGGCTTTCAGAAACAACACTTGGTGTTAGTTTCGATGTGTAGCCCCCGGTACTTGGTACCGAGGGGTCTTCTGTAAGAACACTTGGTGTTCTCTTTTGTTGTAGTTGATGTAGGCGTCTACCCTCGGTACTTGGTACCGAAGGGTCTTCAAATGAAACACTTGGTGTTTCCCAACAGATGTTTGGAAGTTGATAGGAGAGCATATCCCTGGCACTGGGTGCCGAGGGGTCTTCTTTGGAACATTTTTCTTCGTTTCGATGTTTGATGATGGAGGTGTACCCTCGGTACTTGGTGCCGAAGGGTCTTCTGTAGGAACACTTGGTGTTCTCATCTTTTCTTTTTTGACGTTGAAGGTGGGGATGTACCCTCGGCACTGGGTGCCGAAGGGAAATGAAACACATGGCGTTCCTTATTGTTAGTGATAGGAGTTCCTTCCCTCGGCACTTGGTACCGAGGGGTCTTGACTGAAAACACGTGGTGTTTTTAGTGATGTTGTAGGTGTTGATGGCGTCCGCCCTCGGCACTTGGTGCCGGAGGGGGTTTTGTCTCGTGGTGAGGCATGGGGCCTGTAGCCAGTATGAGGGCTTGATGTCTTGAATGTATCTTCATTCTTCGAAGTTGGAGGCCTTGGGCCATAGGATAGTACATTCACTAGTTATGAGGGCTTGGCCGCTCTTACATTATTGATAAAATTTAACTAAATGGTGTACATTCCAGTGCCTAGGGACTTCTTTCCCATTGGGGCGTTTGAGCTTGTAGGTCCCGGGTTTGATGATGGCTGCTATGATGTAGGGGCCTTCGAATTTTGGTGCCATTTTTCCTCCCTCGGTTGGTTGGCTGGCTTCCCTCCTCCGGAGGACATAGTCCCCCACTTGAAATTCTCGGGTGCGAACTTTGGCGTCGATGTAGCATTTAACTTGCCTTCGGTAGTTTTCTGCCCGGATGAAGGCCTGCTCCCGGCGTTCTGAAATGAGGTGGAGGTCGAGGGCCATGTTGCTGTCGTTGATCTCAGGGTCGTATTGGATCACCCTTCGGGTAGGAAGGGTGACTTCCGTAGGAGCTTTGGCTTCAAAACCGTAGCAGAGGGAGAAGGGTGTTTCACCTGTAGCTCGCCGAGGGGTGGTGCGGTAGGCCCAAAGGATGTTGTGAAGTTCTTCCACCCAGCCACCACCCTCGGCCTCCAGCTTCTTTTTGAGGCCCTCGAGCAAGGTCCGGTTGGCGTTCACTACTTGCCCGTTGCCTTGAGGGTAGGCAACGGAGGAGAAGGTGTGTTTGATGCCCCATGCCTCCAGAAGGGCACAGAAGGGGGCTGCCTCAAATTGTGTCCCATTGTCGGAGATGATCTGCTGGGGGACGCCAAACCTTGTGAGGATGTTCTTGAGAACGAAGTGACGGCACTTCGCCTCTGTGATGCTGGCGAGGGGTTCAGCCTCCACCCACTTGGTAAAATAGTCGACGGCCACAATGATGTATCTGTTGTTGGAGGTACCCCTCGGCAGAGGGCCCACAAGGTCTATCCCCCATCGAGAAAATGGGACAGAGGTGCTGATGGGGGCGTAGTTGACCGCTGGCCTGCCGGGGGCTTTCTGGAAATGTTGACACGCGGTGCACCTCCGGGCAAGGTCAGCACAATCCCTGGCCATGGTTGGCCAGAAGTAACCCTGGAGAATGAGCCTTCGGGACATGGAGAAGGGTCCCTGGTGAGCTGAGCAAGTGCCACTGTGCACTTCCTCCATTGCGACCTCGGCTTCATCTGGATGAAGGCACCGAAGTAGCGTGCCATTGTAAGATCGTTTGTAGAGCCTCCCATCTTCGATGGTGTAGCTGGGAGCCCTCAGCTTTGCCAGTTTAGCGCGGGCCTCACTCTCGGGTAGCTGCCCTGTGGAGATGAAGGTGGTGATATCTGAGATCCAATCCTCCTGACGCTGTTGTATGTTCATAACGGGGCTTGCATGGATGCTTGAGAGGCTGAGTTCCTCGATTTTGGCAATTTTGGAGATGTGCTCGGGGGAGTCGGCCGAGAGCTTAGATAATATGTCGGCCTCGGAGTTCTGAGCCCTCGGTATTTGAGTGAGGGAGTGTGCCTCAAATACCTTAAGCAACTCCTTGGCCGCTTCCTTGTACTGTTTCATTCTCCCCTCCTTGGCCTCATATTCCTCGGAGATTTGGCCAACGACCAACTTGGAGTCGCATTTGATGTGGATCTGCCGAGCCCTCATGTTGGCAGCCAGCCGAAGGCCACATAGGAGGGCCTCATATTCGGCCTCATTGTTGGAGACTTTGAAGGAGAAGCGGATGGCATAGTAGGCCCTGAAGCCCTCGGGAGTAATGAGGACTACCCCTCCCCCGCATGCTTTGGTCGCGGAGGAGCCATCAGTGTAGAGGGTCCACCAGTCGTCCGAGGTAGCCGAGGGCTCCCCGTCCGTGGCTGCCCTTGCGGTACACTCCGTCACAAAGTCCGCCAGGGCTTGGCCCTTGATGGCAGGCCTTGGACGGATGTCAATGTTGTACTGGCTCAAGAAGATAGCCCATTTCACCATGCGGGAGGAGCTGGTGGGGCTCCTCATGAGGGCACCGAGGGGTTGATGAGTGAGGACCTGAACCGGGTGAGCCTGAAAGTAGTGGCCCAGCTTCTTGACAGTCCAAACGATGGCTAACACCGTTTTTTCCACAGGGGAGTACCTGAGCTCGGCCTCCCTTAGGGTCTTGCTAACGTAGAAGATGGCATGTTGGATGCCGTTTTCCTCCCTTATGAGTACAGAGCTGATGGCCGCCGGGCTAACCCCAAGGTAGAGGTAGAGGGTCTCCCCTACCTTGGGTTTGGAGAGCACAGGAGGTGAAGATAGATATCGTTTGAGCTCGT